AGGGGTATTATACTAAATATTAAATATATTAAATTCATTGGCCATTTCTCTATCTATTAATATTAAAATGAATATATATTTACTATATTAGTGGTGTAAAATATATAGTTGAATGTAGTGATATATATTTGATAGGGTGTGGGTAAAAACCGACTGTCGCAGGACTTTTGGTCATAGAGTGTAGCTACTTACTTAAATCTAAATTAGAATTCCAAGTTATATTCTATCGGATACTATAGGTATATCTAGGTATATAGATTAAATATATTTAATATACTATTATATCTAGTAGTACAATTAGGATCTTAGTATCCTATCTATACTTACTTTCTCTTCTTCCCTCTCTCTTAGTCTTACTTCTAGATAGAGAATATCATTATCTCCTGTATTATTATATTCCTATAAATCATACTTATAATCTATATCTAGATTTTTGGTTCCTATAATACTTTATATTATAAGGACTAATAGTTCCCTATTATCCCTATAGGTTAGGCTATTATTATCTATAATTTAGTCTTAAATTAGGATTATTAATTCTATTCCTAAGGCTACTTACTTAGAATTTAGGACTCTAGATAGCCTATCTATAGGGTTTATCTCCCCTAGCCTATACTTTATAATAAAGTTAAAAGGTATAAGGAATATATACTAATATACTTATTATCTATTTAACTTCTATTATATTCTAAAGGTATATAGATTAGTATAATTAGATAGTACTTTAATTAGGTATTTACTCCTATTAAGGTAGTGTCTCTAATATTAGAAAGAGTGAATAATAGCGAATAGCTCCTAGTCTAGTATTATATAGTTTAGTTCTATACCTAAGAACTTTCTTAACTAAAAAGTGACTAGATACTATTATCCTTTATTATCTAGTTAGAATAGTACTCTACCTGTTCCTCTATTTAAAGTGTTATTCTCTAATTAGATACACTATTCTAGATTAAAGTAGTATAGTAGGGCTATAGATTTAAAGGACCCTTTTAGGTATTAGAATACCTCTACTTTAGCTCTATTAAGTTAGACCCTTCCTAGTTTCTTCCTATTTTTTGACCCTTTAAGTACAAGGGATCTTGGTGGCCTTCGGCCACTAGATAGACCTTGTGAAGCGAAGTGACTTATTAGTAGTTAGTTAGTGAGTGACTATGTGTTGATTACGTAACCACAGCTGGATCTAGATTCACTAGTTTATATCACGTGATAAGAATTTCCAGTACTAAGGCCTCTAGTACAGAGGCCCGGCAGAATTATTCTGCCATTTCTCAGCGATCATTTTTCACCGCATTAGAATCCTATGGATTTGGACCTCATATAGGAGCAAGGTCACGTGACATACACCTGAGCCCTTATGATATGGGTTGCTTCGCTTCGCTACGCAATAAAATTATAGAGATCTAAGACTTTAATCTATAGTCTTAGTCTACCTTTATAAGTAGAAGTACTAGTATAAATATTAGAGGAACTATACTATATATAAAGCGCGAAGGAAGTATTATTGCGGAGCGAAGCGAAGTAACCTATATTATAAGGGCTTATATATATATCACGTGACCTTACTTATATATAAGGTCTAAATCTATAGAGTTCTAATATAGCGAAAATATTATCGCTAAGAAATAGTAGAATAATTCTACTAGTAGTAGTATAAAGTAGATATCTACTAAGCCTAGTAATGACAATTCTTTATTATATGATATAAACCGCGCGAATCTAAATTCGATAGTGACTACGAAAACCTAGTACCTACTAGGTGAAAACCTTCTTACTTCGCTCCACAAGGACTATCTGGTGGCCAAAGGCCACCAAGATCCCTTGTATCTATAAGCTAAGTATTAAAAACTAAGCTATTTTAGGGACCTCCTATTAACTTCTATAAATCTAGTATATAAAGTAATACTTTATAACTACCTAAGTAGGAGACTTTCCCTAGGTAGGGGCTTTTCCCTATTATTTATTATTATCAACTTTAATAATCTATACTTTAACCTTTAGATCTAGCTAGGGTTACAACTACCACTAAGGTAATAGGTTTCTTTTTCTTTAGGTATTTATATATTATATAACCTTAGGCTTTATAGCTAAAGTACTATCCTCCCTTTATTAAGGTTTCTTATTTACTTATAGATAATATTACAAGGGATCTTGGTGGCCTTCGGCCACTAGATAGTCCTTATAGAGCGAAGTAACAAGGTTTTTACCTAGTTAGGTACTAGGTTTTTTTATATAATCACTATCATATTTAAATAGTTAGATTTAGAGAGTTTATATCATATAATAAATAATTTTAATTACTAGGTATAGTGTATATCTACTACCGGTAGAATTATTCTACTATTTCTTAGATTTTTGCTGTATTAGAACTCTATAGATTTAGACCATATATATAAGTAAGGTCACGTGACGTATATATAAGCCCTTATAATATAGGTTGCTTCGCTTCACTCCGTAATAATACTTCCTTCGCGCTTTATATATAGTATAGTTCCTCTAATATTTATACTAGTACTTCTACTTATAAAGGTAGACTAAGACTATAGATTAAAGTCTTAGATCTCTATAATTTTATAAGAAATACTCTAGTAGAGCTTTATAAGGATATTAAAAGTAATATATAGTTTATAGGCCTTTCTAATTAGGAAATTCATTAAAAAAGTATAGTAATTTTAATAGAAGGTCTTACTTCTAACTTCCTATAGGTACCTATATCTCTTTAGCTAACTAGATAAACTCTAAGAGGAAGTTGTTAAAATTATCCTTAGGTTTTACTTTTAACTTTAAGTATTAGTAAAGGCCTTGGTAACTTGGCTTAGGTTCTTAAAAACGCTTTATAAGTGGTCTAATATATCTTTAGTATTAATATAAGGTTTACTCTATTATTTAAATAGGGTATAATATATATATATATACCTTTCCTTTATAATAGCTCTAAACATAGAACTTTTAGTAGTCTAGGGTAGGGAAATAACTAGTACTTAGCCCTTCGCTTCCGCACTAAACCCTTTAGGGGTTTTATAGCTATACTACCTAAAATATAATTTTATCTAAAGTATAATTTTCGAGTATATACTTAATAAAACCATTATCTTTAACCTATTCCCCTATAGTATCTATAATAAGTTTATATTTTATAGAATCCCTAGATTCCGCTCTATCTCCCTAGGTATTAATCTTATCACTTTCCTAGATCTATATAGAGAGAGTAGCCCTGGTAGTTACAGTTGTAATATACTCTTTCTATGCCTAGCGAATGATTCGGCGCCTTTTATCCTTATCCCTTATTTTTATATACCTTTTTGTGTTATAAACTAATTAAGGACCCCCTAAATTAACCTACCGCTTTAATTTCTAGGCTTCCTAGCGATTTTTATAGTCTAAAATTTTGATATTATCGCTAGCGTACTAAGCTCCTACTTCTACTAAGATAAGGCCACTATCTAAAATAGGGTCTAATTAACACTATATCTTAGATAAAAAATACTTAATTTAAGGGCCCTTTCTCTTAAATTTATTAATCTATACCTAAAGCTTTTCTATAGTTTTAATTGGTAAACTATATACTAAACTTACTATAGGAGGAGGGGTATTACTATCGAATATTTAAAATACTAGATTAGTTAGAAGCTCTAGTTCCTACCCTATTTTAATAAGCCCCTTTTCTAAATTAATATAATAGATTCTATATTTAATAAAACTATATTATATTATATTATATAGCCTTTAAATACTATAAGGTAAATTTAGTGGATATTAGTGAAGAAATCTAACTTTAATTTTATAGATCTACCCTACTAGATAGTAGTGTTATTATTCTTTCGAAAATAGTGCTTTAATACCTAAAAAGGGATATTATTAAGGGGCTAGTAGATATATATAGTATATAGTATAAAGTAACATAGAATTATTAAATTATCCTAGTAATACTTGATAAATTTATATATTAAATAAGACCTATGATTATCTATTAAAAGTAGGTGAAAATCCCCCTTTATAACCTAACTTTTTATAGATTAGTTAAAAGATTAAAGCTATTAAAAGGTAATAATATTATTTATCTAGCTATTAGGTATAGGAGCTACCTAGTAATTATTAGGGAGGTTAGTTTCACGATACCAATTCTCTATATAAACTATTACCTTTACTAGAAACTAAGGTAGTATAACCTAACTATTAGTAGAAATATATTCAATAATAGTAAGGGATTCTATAGGTCCTCCTATACTAATCTTAGAATATCTTCCTCTAGTAGAAAAAACCTTTTACTCCTATCCTTCGCCGATTCGAAAGCCACTTTTATCGAAGTTATATAGATTTTTTCGGTAAATCTTATACTACTAAATAGTATTAGTAAACCTATTGTACTAGGTATTTAAATGACTAGGTATAAGTACTTCTATTTAGGCTTTTTCTATAGGTTTTTATTTAATATAGAGGTAATCATCGGGGAGTCACTTAATAAATCTATATACCTAGTTATAAGTAGCTAGGGCCGGCCCAGAGGGCCAGCCTTGTGAAAAAAAAAAAAAAAAAGAGGAAAGAGAAGAAACATCAGAGAATTGGCCAGTTTATTATACTAACATGTAATATAAAGCCCGTCCGCTACCTGCGCTCCTATAGAGCGCCGCTAGCGCTCTGCTCTATAGGCCAGCGCGGTAGGTATACGACCGGTAGAAAGAAAAGCGGTATTAGAAGTCGAAAATTTAAAAAAAACACCCTAATAATACACTAAAGGTAGGTAGAAACTAAATTTAAAAACGGTAAGTTATAGTACCTATCTTAAATAATCTACAAGGGATCTTGGTGGCCTTCGGCCACCAGATAGTCCTTGTGGAGCGAAGTGACAAGGTTTTCACCTAGTTAGGTAACTACTGGGTTTTAATTATATAATCACTATCGTATTTAACGTATTCGGTAAGCGAGCTGGACACGCAAGCGAGCTGGACACCCCACTCAAAACGCGTCCATAAATTAGCACTTTATCAATTCAACCACCCACTATGCCACCAATTCGCTCTCAAAGCTCAAAAAAATCAATCGAGCAAGAGGGTAGGATATTACTAGCTATTCAGGCTATTAAAAAACAAGAAATTAGCTCTATTCGTGAGGCAGCACGCTAATTCAATGTACCGAAGTCAACACTCTCTACCCGTATCCGTGGGGTACAAAACCGCGCGATTTCTCGCGCTAATTCGTCGAAATTGACCGAAATTAAAGAGGAATCTCTTCAAAAATAGATTCTCTCTATAGATTTACGTAGAGCGGCCCCCCGGCCTACTACTGTACAAGAAATAGCGAATCTTTTACTTCAACAACGTAGAACCACCCCGGTGATTTTGGTTAGCGAAAAATAGACCTATAACTTTATACAACGGTATCCTCTCCTCTCCTCCCGATTCTCGAGACGCTATAATTACGAACGTGCGAAGTGTGAAGACCCAAAGATTATTTAAGAGTGGTTTACACTTATTCAAAATACTATCCTTTAATTTGGAATCGACCCCGATAATATTTATAACTTTGATAAGACTAGTTTCGCAATAGGGTTAATCGCTACTGCGAAGGTGATAATAAGGAGTGAATACTATGGTCGGTGCTCGCTTTTACAACCTAGAAATCGCGAATAGGTAACTGCTATTAAGTGTATAAATTCGTTAGGTTAGGCCCTCCCTCTGTGTATTATTTTTAAAGACAAAGTCTTTATAGAATCATGGTTCGAAGGCCTACTAAATAACTAGCGATTCGAAGTTAGTCCTAATGGTTAGACTTCTAATAAAATAGGCCTTCGCTAGCTTAAAAAGCTCTTTATTCCTAGCACTTCTCTATATACGAAGGGGGGTATAGGCTTCTAATTCTTAACGGATATAGAAGCTATTTAACCCCTAAATTCGATAAGATTTGTGAGTAAAATAGGGTTATACCAATTTATATATCTCTATATTCCTCTTACCTTTTATAGCCTCTTGATATTAGCTATTTTGCGGTATTAAAACGTGCGTATAGTCGGTTGGTAGAGACAAAAATAAGATATAGGATCAACTATATTGACAAACTTGACTTCCTTAAATCATACCCCCTTGCACGAATTGAGGCCTATAAACCAGAGACTATCAAGAATAGCTTTAAAGCAGCTGGTTTAGTACCTTTTTCACCTAATGAAGTGATTTTGAAGCTCAATATTTAAGTCCGAACCCTAACCCCCCCTCCGAGCAGAGGAAGCGATTAGGACCCAAAAACACCCTCGAACTATATGTAATTACAAAAGTAAGCTTCGTCAATTAAAGCTTTGCTTCGTACAAGGTCGAGGAGTCCTCCAAGTCCACTAAACAATACGATAAATCAGGTTTTGAAGGCCTGTCAAATCACTATACAGTCTACTGCTTTACTTGAGAAAGAAGTAAGCGAACTACGCGCTTCAAATGAGAAGTAGAAGCAAAAGCGAAACAGATCCCGGAAGTAGATACAGGCCGACAAAGGCCTCTCAGTTCAAGAAGCTTCTCAATTGATTACTAAGCCTATAGAAGCAGCTGAAGCACCCCCCCCCCTACTGCAAGAAGTGCTTCGCTAGCATTAGAACCACGTCAACGGGCCCCACTAAGGTGTAGTGGGTGTGGGGGAATAGGGCATAAGATTAATAGGTGTTTAGCTAGATAAATCAATTTAATTGATTAAATTTAAGGGTATTTTCGTCGAGAAAAATATAGTTGAATTCAATGGGTTTAGTGGGGTGTCCAGCTCGCTTGCGTGTCCAGCTCGCTTGCGTGTCCAGCTCGCTTGCGTGTCCAGCTCGCTTGCGTGTCCAGCTCGCTTACCGAATACGTTAAATAGTTGGATTCAGACAGTTTATATCATTTGATAAATAATTTTAATTGCTGGGCATGGTGTATATCTACTGCCGGCAGAATTATTCTGCCATTTCTCAGCGATGACATTTTCGCCGCATTAGAACTCTATGGATTTGGACCTCATATAGGAGCAAGGTCACGTGACGTACACCCGAGCCCTTATGATATGGGTTGCTTCGCTTCGCTCCGCAATAAGAGAAAGTATATATAAATTAGTAGAAAGGATAAGTTCCTACACTAGATTATACACAAAATATAATTAGATACTTTTGGTGAGGGAAAGCTAGGCGGTCAGCCGAGTCAGATACCGAGAACCAATCAAATCTCAGGTTTAAACGCACACCCACACTAACATACATACATGGTTGATAATTAAGGTTCCCCTAGGGGTTATAGCGGCGAAGAATCGATAGAGTATAGTTATAAATCATCTTAGTAGTTAGCGGAGTATTACTATTATTTAAGGTATAAATCTATTGAATTACTACTACTTCTCAGGTGGAATCGAGGGCTTTGTTAGTGCCTATACGGCCTTTCTGGGGTTTTGCACCCTTCGACCGGCCGAGGAGTAACTAGTACGGAATCTCGAATTCCTACGCCAATTTAGCGATTTTAAGTCTAGGACTTTCAGTATATAATCGCAAGGCAATTTTGATACGGTCTTCTTATTTTTTGATTTGATCGAGTCGTTTTTAGAGGTATAAAAATTGATTGAAAATGGTGAGTTGGTTAAAATTATGTTTTAGATAAAATTATATTTTGGGTGGTGCGGCCTAATAACCTAAAAGGGGTTATTAGGCCGTAGTACCATACTAGGCCGAGTACTAGGTTATTCCTTTTAAATAATATTTCCTTATAATATTTATTATACTAAAGGGCTTATATTTCAGTAGCTTTTTACTATAATATCTATAGTTTTTCTTAAAGCTCTTCTAGCTTTTTAATATAAGATAATACTACTAGTGTCTCTCTCTTTATACTACTATCCTTGGTGTATACTTAAAGGTTTAGATTAAATCCTAGTAGTGCCTAAAATAGTGATATTCCTCTTATAATATTAACTATATTATTACAAGGGGTCTTAGTGGCCTTCGGCCACCAGATAGACCTTATGAAGCGAAGTGACTTATTAGTAGTTAGTTAACTAACTAACGTATTTTACAAGCGAGCTACGCACACAAGCGAGCTACGCACCCATATCCACCTATTAAATTTAACTATATTTATCTCAACCAAAACACCATTAAATTAATTCAACTAAATTGATTTATCTTGCTAAACACCTATTGATTTTATATCCTATTTCTCTATAGCCACTACACTTTAGTAGGGCCTGCGTACGTGGTTATAAACCTAGCGAAGGGCTTATTCGTAGAGAGGAGGAGGGTGCTTTATCTCCTTCTACTAGCTTAGTAATTAACTAAGAAGCTTCTTAAACCAAGAGCCCTTACTTATTAGGTATCTACTTCTAGGATTAAGTCCTTTTTTACTTTTACTTCTTATTTATAGTATATAGCTCGCTTACTTCCTTCTTAAGTAAAGCGGTAGACTATATTATGATTTAATAAGCCTTCAAGACCTAATTAATCGCCTTATTTAGGGGACTTAGTAGGCTATATAAGTGTATATAAAGTAAGGCTTTAATTAAGGATACTTACTTTTATAATTATATATAATTTAAGGGTATCCTTAGGTCCTAATTGCTCCCCCTACTAGAGGGGGGAGTAGGGGTTCGAAGTCGAATATTAAGCTTCTTGATCACTTAATTAGGTATAAAAGGTACTAAACTAGCTACTACAAAGCTATTCTTAATAGTCTCTAATTTGAAAGCCTTAATTTAAGTAGATAGATATATACTTTAAGGAAGTTAAGTTTATCGATATAGTTAATTCTACTTCTTATCTTTAACTTAACTAGCTATCTATATAATTATTTTAATACTATAAAATAACTAATATTAAGACGCTATAAAAGATAAGATAAATAAGGAGATATATAGATTAGTATAACCTTATTTTACTTATAGATCTTATCGAATTTTAGGGTTAAATAGCTTCTATATCTATTAAGTATTAAAAGCTAATATCCCCCCTTTATATATAAAGAAATACTAGGAATAAAGAGCTTTTTAAGCTAGTAAAGTCTAATTTTATTAGAAGTCTAGCTATTAGGACTAACTTCAAATCGCTTGTAAGCATAATAGTAATTGTAAGATATATTTATATACTATGGTGTGTGAGGATAAGATATATATTTTACCGGTAGTATCTAAGAGAACCTTAGATATATTATTTACGGTAAACTATATTATGACTCACAATGTATCGCCATAAATCTAAGACATCATAACGAAGTCATTATATTATTAATGTCTTTCTATGATATTCTATACTGCTAGAGCTTGCCTATATAAGGAATGGAGGATTCCTAGCTAGATAATCAACGAATACAACCTTTCTCATCCCTCACCTATTACAAGGGATCTTGGTGGCCTTCGGCCACCAGATAGTCATTATGGAGCGAAGTGACAAGGTTTTTACCTAGTTAGGTACTGGGTTTTAATTATATATTCACTATTGTATTCAGTCAAATTTGGACAGTTTATATCATGTAATAAATAACTTCAATTGCTAGGCTTGGTGTATATCTACTACCGGCAGAATTATTCTACCATTTCTCAGCGAACACTTTTTCACCGCATGGAAACGCTATTTTTTTGGACCAGGTCAGAGATAATTTCTGGTCACGTGACTTCGGGGGGGCTGTCAAATAGTATTGCTTCGCTTCGCTCCGCAATAAGAATAAGAGGCCTAATAGACTAAGGCCTAGGTATTAAGCGCTATATAAAGGACTATATATAACACTAGAAAATAAATACCTAATTAGCGAATCATTAGAAGATCTCTTAGTAAGATAGAGTAACCTAAGCCTAGAAGAGATATTAGCTAGTAACCTATATATTAAAGGGTTAGCTAAGGGGCTATATATAGAATTCCCTAAAATAGAATAGGATATAGTAGAGAGTTAAGGATAGACCTAGTATATTTACCTAGGAGATAGCGACTCCTAGGAATTAATTAATAACTCTTAGAAGAAAGAAGTAGGTTACCTAGGAATACTAGTTATATCCCTAGGAAACTAGGAGAACCTAGAAACACTCTATAGGGCTAATTATAGTATAGAGCCCTATAGACCGCGATATATAAACTAAGTGATCCTAATTAAGGGACTTAAAGACTTAGAAGAAGAGATACCTAAGTATAACTATAGATAGTACTATAAGGAAGCTTATATAGAGCTTTAGGACTACCTCTAAGAATAGAGCTAGATTAATATATTAGAAGGAAGAATACTTAATATTATAGAATAGAGTAACCTAATAGGATACCCTTATAATAAATCTACTTATATATATAAAGGATATATATAATACCCTAATTATAGTAAAATAGCTAGTATAATATACTATAATAAGTTATATATAATTTATAGGTCTAGTAAGTTAGATCTAGGTATTAAACTAAGGCCACTAGTGTAGATAAAAGAACTATAATAGCGAAAAGAATACTAAGGAATTTAGTATAATAGGCGATAAATATATAATTATCGGAACTAGCTAACTAAATACCTTACTATAACGATATTAGGAACTTATATTAAACTCTATATAGAGTTACCTACTAGAAAAGCCTAGATACTTATTAATTTAGGGGCTATAAATAATTTTATAAGCCTAATATTCTAGGAAGAATAAGAAATTTAAACTATAATATTACCTTATATAATCCTAGTTAGTGGACTAGATAGGGAAGTACTCTTAGGAGGAGTAAATAAAGAAACTATAATACTCTGAATAAATATTAATAACTACCTAAAGAATATTAAGTCTAATATTCTTATAATTAGGAACTATAATATCGTTCTTAAAATACTATAGTTAAGAAGGTATAACCCTAGTATTAACTAGTAGAAAGAGACTATTAAATTTAATTAGTATAAATATATTAAAAAGGGACCTATTAACCGCTTATAAATTAGGAAATAACCTATAATAAAATAGGAAGAGACCCTGAGTATAATAGAATAAGTACTAGATATATCTAATTAAGAATTAGCGGACTATATACTAGTTAAGAGTGAAAGGCTATATATAACTAATAGCGAACTATAGATTCTAGAGGAATATAAGGATTACTAGGATATATTTACCCTACTAAAAGAAGGAGAGCTACCTAAGTATAGACTATTTAACTATAAGATTAATATTATAGAAGGTTCTAAACTAACTTTTAAACCTATCTATTAACTATTATAGAAAGAATCTAATACCCTTAAGGAATATATCGATAATAACCTAAGGTTATATCTAAGCCTCAAAGTCACTAGCTAGATACCTAATTATCTTTATACCTAAGAAAGATAGATAGCTATAACTTTATATAGACTATCGATATCTAAATTCGATCACTATTAAAGACTACTACCCACTACCACTTATTTATAAGATATAGGGTAGGATTAGAGGAGCGAAATACTTTATAAAGTATAATATCACTAATACTTACTATTATATTAGAATCAAGCTAGGATATAAGTGGAAGATAGTATTTAGAACTAAGTTCGGACACTATAAGTACTAAGTGATACCCTTCGGCCTTACTAACGCACTAGCTATATTTTAGCGATTTATATTTAAAGTGCTCGAAGAATACTTAGATATCTT